ATGAGATTTGAATGGCTTGGCTATTCCTTTACAATCTTGCTCCTTTTTAAAATCGCACCAAGTCCCAATCAAAAAAAAATATAAATTGTATTGATTTTTAACATATTTTTTATTTGTTTAATAGATAAGAGATCCCTAAACGTTGCTAACTTATTTTTAGAGTGTGTTTTGCAGTTTTTCGATTTTTTAAAGAGATTTGAATACGGCATGTGGGTTGTGCTTGTCCCATACAACTTTGTGCCTGATAAAAGTCCCACCAAATACCAATCGAAAAAAAAAAATATTCGAACTTTTTTGAGATAGATTTTGTTTTATTTAATAAATAAGGGATTCGTTATCGTTGCTAAACTATTTTCAAGTTGAGTTTAATAGTTTTTCTATTTTTTAATGAGATTTGAATGGCTTGGCTATTCCCTTACAATCTTGCTCCTGTTTAAAATCGTACCAAGTCCCAATCAAAAAAAAATATAAATTGTATTGATTTTGACATATTTTTGATTTGTTTAATAGTTAAGAGATTCCTAAACGTTGCTAACTTATTTTTAGAGTGTCTTTTGCAGTTTTTCGATTTTTTAAAGAGATTTGAATACGGCATGTGGGTTGTGCTTGTCCCATACAACCTTGTGCCTGATAAAAGTCCCACCAAATACCAATCGAAAAAAATACGAATTTGAACTTTTTCGAGATAGATTTTGTTTTATTTAATAAATAAGGGATTCGTTATCGTTGCTAAACTATTTTCAAGTTGAGTTTAATAGTTTTTCGATTTTTTAATGAGATTTGAATGGCTTGGCTATTCCCTTACAATCTTGCTCCTGTTTAAAATCGTACCAAGTCCCAATCAAAAAAAAATATAAATTGTATTGATTTTTGACATATTTTTGATTTGTTTAATAGTTAAGAGATTCCTAAACGTTGCTAACTTATTTTTAGAGTGTCTTTTGCAGTTTTTCGATTTTTTAAAGAGATTTGAATACGGCATGTGGGTTGTGCTTGTCCCATACAACCTTGTGCCTGATAAAAGTCCCACCAAATACCAATCGAAAAAAATACGAATTCGAACTTTTTCGAGATAGATTTTGTTTTATTTAATAAATAAGGGATTCGTTATCGTTGCTAAACTATTTTCAAGTTGAGTTTAATAGTTTTTCCATTTTTTAATGAGATTTGAATGGCTTGGCTATTCCTTTACAATCTTGCTCCTTTTTAAAATCGCACCAAGTCCCAATCAAAAAAAATATAAATTGTATTGATTTTTAACATATTTTTTATTTGTTTAATAGTTAAGAGATCCCTAAACGTTGCTAACTTATTTTTAGAGTGTGTTTTGCAGTTTTTCGATTTTTTAAAGAGATTTGAATACGGCATGTGGGTTGTGCTTGTCCCATACAACTTTGTGCCTGATAAAAGTCCCACCAAATACCAATCGAAAAAAATACGAATTCGAACTTTTTCGAGATAGATTTTGTTTTATTTAATAAATAAGGGATTCGTTATCGTTGCTAAACTATTTTCAAGTTGAGTTTAATAGTTTTTCGATTTTTTAATGAGATTTGAATGGCTTGGCTATTCCCTTACAATCTTGCTCCTGTTTAAAATCGTACCAAGTCCCAATCAAAAAAAAAAAAATAAATTGTATTGATTTTTGACATATTTTTGATTTGTTTAATAGTTAAGAGATTCCTAAACGTTGCTAACTTATTTTTAGAGTGTCTTTTGCAGTTTTTCGATTTTTTAAAGAGATTTGAATACGGCATGTGGGTTGTGCTTGTCCCATACAACCTTGTGCCTGATAAAAGTCCCACCAAATACCAATCGAAAAAAAATACGAATTTGAACTTTTTCGAGATAGATTTTGTTTTATTTAATAAATAAGGGATTCGTTATCGTTGCTAAACTATTTTCAAGTTGAGTTTAAAAGTTTTTCGATTTTTTAATGAGATTTGAATGGCTTGGCTATTCCCTTATAATCTTGCTCCTTTTTAAAATCGCACCAAGTCCCAATCAAAAAAAAATATAAATTGTATTGATTTTTAACATATTTTTTATTTGTTTAATAGTTAAGAGATTCCTAAACGTTGCTAACTTATTTTTAGAGTGTCTTTTGCAGTTTTTCGATTTTTTAAAGAGATTTGAATACGGCATGTGGGTTGTGCTTGTCCCATACAACCTTGTGCCTGATAAAAGTCCCACCAAATACCAATCGAAAAAAATACGAATTCGAACTTTTTCGAGATAGATTTTGTTTTATTTAATAAATAAGGGATTCGTTATCGTTGCTAAACTATTTTCAAGTTGAGTTTAATAGTTTTTCCATTTTTTAATGAGATTTGAATGGCTTGGCTATTCCTTTACAATCTTGCTCCTTTTTAAAATCGCACCAAGTCCCAATCAAAAAAAAATATAAATTGTATTGATTTTTAACATATTTTTTATTTGTTTAATAGTTAAGAGATTCCTAAACGTTGCTAACTTATTTTTAGAGTGTGTTTTGCAGTTTTTCGATTTTTTAAAGAGATTTGAATACGGCATGTGGGTTGTGCTTGTCCCAAACAACCTTGTGCCTGATAAAAGTCCCACCAAATACCAATCGAAAAAATACAAATTCGAACTTTTTCGAGATAGGTTTTGTTTTATTTGATAAATAAGGGATTCGTTATTGTTGCTAACTTATTTTAAAATTGAGTTTAATAGTTTTTCGGTTTTTTAATGACAGTTGAATGGTTAGTGCTATTCCCTTCAAACCTTGCACATTGTTCACATCCCAATGCCACACCCCCTAAAGCGAATTATTTATTAAAATAAAATACATATTTATATATTTATTATAATTAGAAGACGCCAAAAGAAAAATTAATATCTCATCGAAAGTATTTTGTGGTCCTGAAAAGGACCGATTTGTACAAAGTATGCTGGCGCATTGGTCGCTAGTTGAGACCGTCTCAGCTTAAGCACGCTCACCGCGAATGCGACGGGCCAACTGGATGTCCTTGGGCATGATTGTTACACGCTTGGCATGAATGGCACACAAGTTGGTATCTTCAAAAAGGCCAACAAGATATGCTTCGCTAGCTTCCTGAAGAGCCATCACTGCCGAGCTCTGGAACCGCAAATCAGTCTTGAAGTCCTGAGCGATCTCACGCACCAGACGCTGGAAAGGCAGTTTGCGAATCAGCAGCTCGGTACTCTTCTGGTAGCGACGGATCTCACGCAGGGCCACAGTTCCGGGGCGATAGCGATGGGGCTTCTTCACGCCTCCGGTGGCTGGGGCGCTCTTACGAGCGGCCTTGGTGGCCAGTTGTTTGCGTGGCGCCTTGCCACCAGTCGACTTGCGAGCGGTTTGCTTGGTACGAGCCATTTTCGATTTCTATGTTGATATTTATATTCACTGATGTTCACTTCGCGTCTGAAAACACAATAAACGGTTGCCGCGTTCGCTGCCTGCTTATATAGCAAAATGTGGAGGGTTGGAAAGAGAAAGAGGCAGAGGCCATCTCGTTTGACGAGCGAAGAGCGAGACGAATATATCGCTCGGACTCGCTCGGGTATCTATGGGTTTAGGTATAAATAGGGGCACGCCGAAAAATCGGAATTAGTTCTTCAGTGACTTTCGTGCAGTGTGTTAATATAGTAGAAAAGTGAAAAATGACTGGTCGTGGTAAAGGAGGCAAAGGCTTGGGAAAAGGTGGCGCCAAGCGTCATCGCAAAGTGCTGCGTGATAACATCCAGGGTATTACGAAGCCAGCCATACGCCGTTTGGCTCGTCGTGGCGGTGTGAAGCGCATCTCCGGATTAATTTACGAGGAAACACGTGGTGTTCTGAAGGTGTTCCTGGAGAACGTTATCCGTGATGCCGTCACCTACACCGAACACGCCAAGAGGAAGACTGTCACAGCCATGGATGTCGTGTACGCCCTGAAGAGGCAAGGCCGCACCCTGTACGGTTTCGGCGGTTAAAAACAAGTACAGCTTGTACTTCATTCAGCAATCGGTCCTTTTCAGGACCACCATTACATCTCCAAAGCAGACAAATTTTCAAAACATTTTACGCTTTTTTGTTTTATTGGCTGGGAACTCCAAATTGGGAGTGAACAAAATCGAAATATTTAGTTTTCACCGCGAGCATTCGTCCGTTTCTCAAACAGGTAGAAAAATGTGTTGTAAAACAATCACTTACAGACATGTATAAAAATGTTTTTTGTTCAGACTGTACTGTTTCAGATGCGAAAGCAGTCTGTCTGATAAAGTTATACAATAAAATTATTATTTAACTTCCCGAACATTTTTAAAACCCAAGATGATGTGTTCACTAGATACATATTTTTTATTTGAAATACTTTTTGATGCCTGATGTTCTATTAGAAAATATTAACAATTCTTTGGTAAAAACTTGGTCGTCCTGAAAAGGACGGTTGGGTATGTTTATGTACAAGTATGTAGTTGGCTCTGCTTTTGGAACGTTTAAGCCTTCTTCTCGGTCTTCTTGGGCAACAGAACAGCCTGGATATTGGGCAATACTCCACCCTGGGCAATGGTGACGCCGGAGAGCAGCTTGTTCAATTCTTCGTCGTTGCGAATGGCCAGCTGCAGATGACGCGGGATAATCCTAGTCTTCTTGTTGTCACGAGCAGCATTGCCAGCCAACTCGAGAACCTCGGCGGCCAGATATTCCATCACGGCAGCCAGGTAAACCGGAGCGCCGGCACCAACACGCTCGGCATAGTTGCCCTTGCGGAGCAGACGGTGAATACGGCCTACTGGGAACTGAAGACCAGCCCGGTTGGAGCGGGACTTTGCCTTTCCCTTCACTTTGCCACCTTTTCCACGACCAGACATTTTGCTTTATTTCACTTAGTTCACTTAACACACAAAAACGAATGCTCGAGAAAAATTGGTAGCCACATATTTATACTTTTTTGCCTGCCTGCGCGTTTAGTTAGGGGTGGGTGCCTTATACCTGAAAAGGTTGCTCGAAAAAAAGTATAAGGGTGAACGCGTTCCGGCTCCGTTATGATCAGTGAATTGTGTTTGTGAAATTAAAAGTGAACTGAAATAATGCCGCCGAAAACTAGTGGAAAGGCAGCCAAGAAGGCTGGCAAGGCTCAGAAGAACATCACCAAGACCGACAAGAAGAAGAAGCGCAAGAGGAAGGAGAGCTATGCGATCTACATCTACAAGGTTCTGAAGCAGGTCCACCCTGACACCGGCATTTCGTCGAAGGCGATGAGCATCATGAACAGCTTTGTGAATGACATCTTCGAGCGTATTGCTGCAGAGGCTTCTCGTCTGGCCCACTACAACAAACGGTCGACCATCACCAGTCGGGAAATCCAAACGGCTGTTCGCCTGCTTCTGCCCGGAGAGTTGGCCAAGCACGCCGTTAGTGAGGGAACCAAGGCTGTCACCAAGTACACCAGCTCCAAGTAAATTTGCTGCGTTTGCGGAGGAAGATCCAAAACGGCCCTTTTCAGGGCCACAACATATTTTACCAAAGAAACTAAATTTTCAATACCATTCGCAATACAATATAAAATAATCAAAATAGTCCAGTTTAAATAAATAAATAAATTTATTCGATTCTGAATGCTACATTATTTGCCGACTTAGCCGCGGTTGCGTGCGTCAAAAGAATTAAATAAACTATTTTCAAAGATGTAATTCCGCCGCTACAGTTCTTTCAAAAAAGCACAATCACTATATTCTTGCTTTATAAAATAATTTGAATGCTATATCGAAAGAATCTTTCTCTTGTTAACAAACATTGTAGCCCTGAAAAGGGCTTGTATAAATCAATTTCAGATTTCGAAATCTTAAATTGCGACTGTGAGCGTCCAGGTACAGGTACTGTACTTTTTCACAGTTTACTTCTTGGCAGCGGTAGTCTTTGCTTTCGGCTTCTTAGCTGTAGCAGGGGCAGCTGCTTTCTTTACCGCCTTTTTCGGCTTAGCAGACGCCGCTGGCTTGGTTTTGGGTGCTTTAGCTGCCTTCGGCTTCGCTGCGGTCGACTTGGTCTTTGGTGCTGCTGGCTTTGCCTTCACGGTTCCAGTTTTCTTAGCATCCTTGGCCCTTGCCTTCTCGGTTTTCTTTTTCTCGGCGGTCTTTTTGGTGGCCACAGCCTTCTTGATCTTGGGCTTTTTGTCGGCAGCCTTCTTGGCGGTGGCTCCGGTCTTCTTAACGGCTACCTTCCTGCTTTTGACTTTCTTCTCAGCAGACGCAACCTTTGGCTTGGGATCCTTCGCGGCAGACGCCGACAGTTTAAATGAACCAGACGCGCCCTTTCCCTTTGTTTGGATCAGTTTCCCATTGACGACGGCAGATTTCAAATACTTCTTAATGAATGGAGCCAATTTCTGGGCATCGCATTTGTAGGTGGCTGTGATATATTTCTTGATTGCCAGAAGCGATGAGCCGCCACGTTCCTTCAAATTCTTAATGGAAGCGTCCACCATTTGCTGAGTTGGCGGGTGCGATGGCGGTGCAGTGGGCTTCTTTGCCTTTGTGCCAGCGGATCCAGATGCCTTTTTGGCAGCCACCTTCTTCTCAACTGGCGCTGGTGGGGCAGCCACTGGGGACGCGGCCGTTGCAACTGCAGATTCAGACATTTTTGATCACTTAAATACACTTTGTTGTTTAGAAAATGGCGCGCGCGCTTGCTGCCGACCTCCTTCATACGGGTGAGAATCGAGGAGGAGAGCACTTCTACTATGGGTCTGACATCAGTCATTTGCTGTGCTGATGTCTGCTTGAAGTGCAAACTTATTTTCTGGTTTTTATTGTTTAAGACCTTTAATCGAAACAATGTTGTTGATTCTATACTAACTTAAATGTTTCATAAAGCACTTTGCATTTACGAAAATGTAATATCTTGTTTCGTTGGCCTTTTATCGCTGAATAAACTTGAACATTGTCATTTGTAATTTGAGCAATTTATTTAAAAACCTATTTTAAAATTAGAAATCTAACAAATATTTGTACGATTCTTAATACAAAATGAAATTTGAACTTTTTACTTTAGGAAATATTGAAAATTTAATCCGTTTTCATTAATTAAGATATTTTATTACTTGTTCCAAGTTGAGCCCAGTCGACATAAAAAGTTTGCTTTCAGGGTACATTCGGTCATAGTTTTCGAGATGAAAAAAATATAAAAGTTTCAAAATGTTATAGTTATTTAAGATTTTCTTAAACAAATCATTTGCATGTTTTGACCGACTTAATTTTTTAGTAATGTTTATGATAGTTTTGGCCAAAATAGGCAAATTTGGCTTGGCTATTCCCATACAATCTTGCTCCTATTATAAATCGTACCAAGTCCCAATCAAAAGAAAAATATAAATTGTATTGTTTTTGACATATTTTTTATTTTGTTTAATAGTAATGGGATTCCCCAACACTGCTGACTTATTTTCAGAGTGTGTTTTGCAGTTTTTCGATTTTTTAAAGAGATTTGAATACGGCATGTGGGTTGTGCTTGTCCCATACAACTTTGTGCCTGATAAAAGTCCCACCAAATACCAATCGAAAAAAAATACGAATTCGAACTTTTTCGAGATAGATTTTGTTTTATTTAATAAATAAGGGATTCGTTATCGTTGCTAAACTATTTTCAAGTTGAGTTTAATAGTTTTTCGATTTTTTAATGAGATTTGAATGGCTTGGCTATTCCCTTACAATCTTGCTCCTGTTTAAAATCGTACCAAGTCCCAATCAAAAAAAAATATAAATTGTATTGATTTTTGACATATTTTTGATTTGTTTAATAGTTAAGAGATTCCTAAACGTTGCTAACTTATTTTTAGAGTGTCTTTTGCAGTTTTTCGATTTTTTAAAGAGATTTGAATACGGCATGTGGGTTGTGCTTGTCCCATACAACCTTGTGCCTGATAAAAGTCCCACCAAATACCAATCGAAAAAAAATACGAATTTGAACTTTTTCGAGATAGATTTTGTTTTATTTAATAAATAAGGGATTCGTTATCGTTGCTAAACTATTTTCAAGTTGAGTTTAAAAGTTTTTCGATTTTTTAATGAGATTTGAATGGCTTGGCTTATCCCTTATAATCTTGCTCCTATTTAAAATCGTACCAAGTCCCAATCAAAAAAAAAAATATAAATTGTATTGATTTTTGACATATTTTTTATTTGTTTAATAGTTAAGAGATTCCTAAACGTTGCTAACTTATTTTTAGAGTGTCTTTTGCAGTTTTTCGATTTTTTAAAGAGATTTGAATACGGCATGTGGGTTGTGCTTGTCCCATACAACCTTGTGCCTGATAAAAGTCCCACCAAATACCAATCGAAAAAAAATACGAATTCGAACTTTTTCGAGATAGATTTTGTTTTATTTAATAAATAAGGGATTCGTTATCGTTGCTAAACTATTTTCAAGTTGAGTTTAATAGTTTTTCGATTTTTTAATGAGATTTGAATGGCTTGGCTATTCCCTTACAATCTTGCTCCTGTTTAAAATCGTACCAAGTCCCAATCAAAAAAAAAATATAAATTGTATTGATTTTTGACATATTTTTGATTTGTTTAATAGTTAAGAGATTCCTAAACGTTGCTAACTTATTTTTAGAGTGTCTTTTGCAGTTTTTCGATTTTTTAAAGAGATTTGAATACGGCATGTGGGTTGTGCTTGTCCCATACAACCTTGTGCCTGATAAAAGTCCCACCAAATACCAATCGAAAAAAAATACGAATTTGAACTTTTTCGAGATAGATTTTGTTTTATTTAATAAATAAGGGATTCGTTATCGTTGCTAAACTATTTTCAAGTTGAGTTTAAAAGTTTTTCGATTTTTTAATGAGATTTGAATGGCTTGGCTATTCCCTTATAATCTTGCTCCTATTTAAAATCGTACCAAGTCCCAATCAAAAAAAAATATAAATTGTATTGATTTTTGACATATTTTTTATTTGTTTAATAGTTAAGAGATTCCTAAACGTTGCTAACTTATTTTTATGTGTGTTTTGCAGTTTTTCGATTTTTTAAAGAGATTTGAATACGGCATGTGGGTTGTGCTTGTCCCATACAACCTTGTGCCTGATAAAAGTCCCACCAAATACCAATCGAAAAAAATACGAATTCGAACTTTTTCGAGATAGATTTTGTTTTATTTAATAAATAAGGGATTCGTTATCGTTGCTAAACTATTTTCAAGTTGAGTTTAATAGTTTTTCGATTTTTTAATGAGATTTGAATGGCTTGGCTATTCCCTTACAATCTTGCTCCTGTTTAAAATCGGACCAAGTCCCAATCAAAAAAAAATATAAATTGTATTGATTTTTGACATATTTTTGATTTGTTTAATAGTTAAGAGATTCCTAAACGTTGCTAACTTATTTTTAGAGTGTCTTTTGCAGTTTTTCGATTTTTTAAAGAGATTTGAATACGGCATGTGGGTTGTGCTTGTCCCATACAACCTTGTGCCTGATAAAAGTCCCACCAAATACCAATCGAAAAAAAATACGAATTCGAACTTTTTCGAGATAGATTTTGTTTTATTTAATAAATAAGGGATTCGTTATCGTTGCTAAACTATTTTCAAGTTGAGTTTAATAGTTTTTCCATTTTTTAATGAGATTTGAATGGCTTGGCTATTCCTTTACAATCTTGCTCCTTTTTAAAATCGTACCAAGTCCCAATCAAAAAAAAATATAAATTGTATTGATTTTTAACATATTTTTTATTTGTTTAATAGTTAAGAGATTCCTAAACGTTGCTAACTTATTTTTAGAGTGTGTTTTGCAGTTTTTCGATTTTTTAAAGAGATTTGAATACGGCATGTGGGTTGTGCTTGTCCCATACAACCTTGTGCCTGATAAAAGTCCCACCAAATACCAATCGAAAAAAAATACGAATTCGAACTTTTTCGAGATAGATTTTGTTTTATTTAATAAATAAGGGATTCGTTATCGTTGCTAAACTATTTTCAAGTTGAGTTTAATAGTTTTTCGATTTTTTAATGAGATTTGAATGGCTTGGCTATTCCTTTACAATCTTGCTCCTGTTTAAAATCGACCAAGAGTCCCAATCAAAAAAAAATATAAATTGTATTGATTTTTGACATATTTTTTTTTTGTTTAATAGTTAAGAGATCCCTAAACGTTGCTAACTTATTTTTAGAGTGTCTTTTGCAGTTTTTCGATTTTTTAAAGAGATTTGAATACGGCATGTGGGTTGTGCTTGTCCCATACAACCTTGTGCCTGATAAAAGTCCCACCAAATACCAATCGAAAAAAAATACGAATTTGAACTTTTTCGAGATAGATTTTGTTTTATTTAATAAATAAGGGATTCGTTATCGTTGCTAAACTATTTTCAAGTTGAGTTTAAAAGTTTTTCGATTTTTTAATGAGATTTGAATGGCTTGGCTATTCCCTTATAATCTTGCTCCTTTTAATAAAAAATCGTACCAAAATAAAAAAAAAATATAAATTGTATTGATTTTTGACATATTTTTTATTTGTTTAATAGTTAAGAGATTCCTAAACGTTGCTAACTTATTTTTAGAGTGTCTTTTGCAGTTTTTCGATTTTTTAAAGAGATTTGAATACGGCATGTGGGTTGTGCTTGTCCCATACAACCTTGTGCCTGATAAAAGTCCCACCAAATACCAATCGAAAAAAAATACGAATTCGAACTTTTTCGAGATAGATTTTGTTTTATTTAATAAATAAGGGATTCGTTATCGTTGCTAAACTATTTTCAAGTTGAGTTTAATAGTTTTTCCATTTTTTAATGAGATTTGAATGGCTTGGCTATTCCTTTACAATCTTGCTCCTTTTTAAAATCGCACCAAGTCCCAATCAAAAAAAAATATAAATTGTATTGATTTTTAACATATTTTTTATTTGTTTAATAGTTAAGAGATTCCTAAACGTTGCTAACTTATTTTTAGAGTGTGTTTTGCAGTTTTTCGATTTTTTAAAGAGATTTGAATACGGCATGTGGGTTGTGCTTGTCCCAAACAACCTTGTGCCTGATAAAAGTCCCACCAAATACCAATCGAAAAAATACAAATTCGAACTTTTTCGAGATAGGTTTTGTTTTATTTGATAAATAAGGGATTCGTTATTGTTGCTAACTTATTTTAAAATTGAGTTTAATAGTTTTTCGGTTTTTTAATGACAGTTGAATGGTTAGTGCTATTCCCTTCAAACCTTGCACATTGTTCACATCCCAATGCCACACCCCCCTAAAGCGAATTATTTATTAAAATAAAATACATATTTATATATTTATTATAATTAGAAGACGCCAAAAGAAAAATTAATATCTCATCGAAAGTATTTTGTGGTCCTGAAAAGGACCGATTTGTACAAAGTATGCTGGCGCATTGGTCGCTAGTTGAGACCGTCTCAGCTTAAGCACGCTCACCGCGAATGCGACGGGCCAACTGGATGTCCTTGGGCATGATTGTTACACGCTTGGCATGAATGGCACACAAGTTGGTATCTTCAAAAAGGCCAACAAGATATGCTTCGCTAGCTTCCTGAAGAGCCATCACTGCCGAGCTCTGGAACCGCAAATCAGTCTTGAAGTCCTGAGCGATCTCACGCACCAGACGCTGGAAAGGCAGTTTGCGAATCAGCAGCTCGGTACTCTTCTGGTAGCGACGGATCTCACGCAGGGCCACAGTTCCGGGGCGATAGCGATGGGGCTTCTTCACGCCTCCGGTGGCTGGGGCGCTCTTACGAGCGGCCTTGGTGGCCAGTTGTTTGCGTGGCGCCTTGCCACCAGTCGACTTGCGAGCGGTTTGCTTGGTACGAGCCATTTTCGATTTCTATGTTGATATTTATATTCACTGATGTTCACTTCGCGTCTGAAAACACAATAAACGGTTGCCGCGTTCGCTGCCTGCTTATATAGCAAAATGTGGAGGGTTGGAAAGAGAAAGAGGCAGAGGCCATCTCGTTTGACGAGCGAAGAGCGAGACGAATATATCGCTCGGACTCGCTCGGGTATCTATGGGTTTAGGTATAAATAGGGGCACGCCGAAAAATCGGAATTAGTTCTTCAGTGACTTTCGTGCAGTGTGTTAATATAGTAGAAAAGTGAAAAATGACTGGTCGTGGTAAAGGAGGCAAAGGCTTGGGAAAAGGTGGCGCCAAGCGTCATCGCAAAGTGCTGCGTGATAACATCCAGGGTATTACGAAGCCAGCCATACGCCGTTTGGCTCGTCGTGGCGGTGTGAAGCGCATCTCCGGATTAATTTACGAGGAAACACGTGGTGTTCTGAAGGTGTTCCTGGAGAACGTTATCCGTGATGCCGTCACCTACACCGAACACGCCAAGAGGAAGACTGTCACAGCCATGGATGTCGTGTACGCCCTGAAGAGGCAAGGCCGCACCCTGTACGGTTTCGGCGGTTAAAAACAAGTACAGCTTGTACTTCATTCAGCAATCGGTCCTTTTCAGGACCACCATTACATCTCCAAAGCAGACAAATTTTCAAAACATTTTACGCTTTTTTGTTTTATTGGCTGGGAACTCCAAATTGGGAGTGAACAAAATCGAAATATTTAGTTTTCACCGCGAGCATTCGTCCGTTTCTCAAACAGGTAGAAAAATGTGTTGTAAAACAATCACTTACAGACATGTATAAAAATGTTTTTTGTTCAGACTGTACTGTTTCAGATGCGAAAGCAGTCTGTCTGATAAAGTTATACAATAAAATTATTATTTAACTTCCCGAACATTTTTAAAACCCAAGATGATGTGTTCACTAGATACATATTTTTTATTTGAAATACTTTTTGATGCCTGATGTTCTATTAGAAAATATTAACAATTCTTTGGTAAAAACTTGGTCGTCCTGAAAAGGACGGTTGGGTATGTTTATGTACAAGTATGTAGTTGGCTCTGCTTTTGGAACGTTTAAGCCTTCTTCTCGGTCTTCTTGGGCAACAGAACAGCCTGGATATTGGGCAATACTCCACCCTGGGCAATGGTGACGCCGGAGAGCAGCTTGTTCAATTCTTCGTCGTTGCGAATGGCCAGCTGCAGATGACGCGGGATAATCCTAGTCTTCTTGTTGTCACGAGCAGCATTGCCAGCCAACTCGAGAACCTCGGCGGCCAGATATTCCATCACGGCAGCCAGGTAAACCGGAGCGCCGGCACCAACACGCTCGGCATAGTTGCCCTTGCGGAGCAGACGGTGAATACGGCCTACTGGGAACTGAAGACCAGCCCGGTTGGAGCGGGACTTTGCCTTTCCCTTCACTTTGCCACCTTTTCCACGACCAGACATTTTGCTTTATTTCACTTAGTTCACTTAACACACAAAAACGAATGCTCGAGAAAAATTGGTAGCCACATATTTATACTTTTTTGCCTGCCTGCGCGTTTAGTTAGGGGTGGGTGCCTTATACCTGAAAAGGTTGCTCGAAAAAAAGTATAAGGGTGAACGCGTTCCGGCTCCGTTATGATCAGTGAATTGTGTTTGTGAAATTAAAAGTGAACTGAAATAATGCCGCCGAAAACTAGTGGAAAGGCAGCCAAGAAGGCTGGCAAGGCTCAGAAGAACATCACCAAGACCGACAAGAAGAAGAAGCGCAAGAGGAAGGAGAGCTATGCGATCTACATCTACAAGGTTCTGAAGCAGGTCCACCCTGACACCGGCATTTCGTCGAAGGCGATGAGCATCATGAACAGCTTTGTGAATGACATCTTCGAGCGTATTGCTGCAGAGGCTTCTCGTCTGGCCCACTACAACAAACGGTCGACCATCACCAGTCGGGAAATCCAAACGGCTGTTCGCCTGCTTCTGCCCGGAGAGTTGGCCAAGCACGCCGTTAGTGAGGGAACCAAGGCTGTCACCAAGTACACCAGCTCCAAGTAAATTTTCTGCGTTTGCGGAGGAAGATCCAAAACGGCCCTTTTCAGGGCCACAACATATTTTACCAAAGAAACTAAATTTTCAATACCATTCGCAATACAATATAAAATAATCAAAATAGTCCAGTTTAAATAAATAAATAAATTTATTCGATTCTGAATGCTACATTATTTGCCGACTTAGCCGCGGTTGCGTGCGTCAAAAGAATTAAATAAACTATTTTCAAAGATGTAATTCCGCCGCTACAGTTCTTTCAAAAAAGCACAATCACTATATTCTTGCTTTATAAAATAATTTGAATGCTATATCGAAAGAATCTTTCTCTTGTTAACAAACATTGTAGCCCTGAAAAGGGCTTGTATAAATCAATTTCAGATTTCGAAATCTTAAATTGCGACTGTGAGCGTCCAGGTACAGGTACTGTACTTTTTCACAGTTTACTTCTTGGCAGCGGTAGTCTTTGCTTTCGGCTTCTTAGCTGTAGCAGGGGCAGCTGCTTTCTTTACCGCCTTTTTCGGCTTAGCAGACGCCGCTGGCTTGGTTTTGGGTGCTTTAGCTGCCTTCGGCTTCGCTGCGGTCGACTTGGTCTTTGGTGCTGCTGGCTTTGCCTTCACGGTTCCAGTTTTCTTAGCATCCTTGGCCCTTGCCTTCTCGGTTTTCTTTTTCTCGGCGGTCTTTTTGGTGGCCACAGCCTTCTTGATCTTGGGCTTTTTGTCGGCAGCCTTCTTGGCGGTGGCTCCGGTCTTCTTAACGGCTACCTTCCTGCTTTTGACTTTCTTCTCAGCAGACGCAACCTTTGGCTTGGGATCCTTCGCGGCAGACGCCGACAGTTTAAATGAACCAGACGCGCCCTTTCCCTTTGTTTGGATCAGTTTCCCATTGACGACGGCAGATTTCAAATACTTCTTAATGAATGGAGCCAATTTCTGGGCATCGCATTTGTAGGTGGCTGTGATATATTTCTTGATTGCCAGAAGCGATGAGCCGCCACGTTCCTTCAAATTCTTAATGGAAGCGTCCACCATTTGCTGAGTTGGCGGGTGCGATGGCGGTGCAGTGGGCTTCTTTGCCTTTGTGCCAGCGGATCCAGATGCCTTTTTGGCAGCCACCTTCTTCTCAACTGGCGCTGGTGGGGCAGCCACTGGGGACGCGGCCGTTGCAACTGCAGATTCAGACATTTTTGATCACTTAAATACACTTTGTTGTTTAGAAAATGGCGCGCGCGCTTGCTGCCGACCTCCTTCATACGGGTGAGAATCGAGGAGGAGAGCACTTCTACTATGGGTCTGACATCAGTCATTTGCTGTGCTGATGTCTGCTTGAAGTGCAAACTTATTTTCTGGTTTTTATTGTTTAAGACCTTTAATCGAAACAATGTTGTTGATTCTATACTAACTTAAATGTTTCATAAAGCACTTTGCATTTACGAAAATGTAATATCTTGTTTCGTTGGCCTTTTATCGCTGAATAAACTTGAACATTGTCATTTGTAATTTGAGCAATTTATTTAAAAACCTATTTTAAAATTAGAAATCTAACAAATATTTGTACGATTCTTAATACAAAATGAAATTTGAACTTTTTACTTTAGGAAATATTGAAAATTTAATCCGTTTTCATTAATTAAGATATTTTATTACTTGTTCCAAGTTGAGCCCAGTCGACATAAAAAGTTTGCTTTCAGGGTACATTCGGTCATAGTTTTCGAGATGAAAAAAATATAAAAGTTTCAAAATGTTATAGTTATTTAAGATTTTCTTAAACAAATCATTTGCATGTTTTGACCGACTTAATTTTTTAGTAATGTTTATGATAGTTTTGGCCAAAATAGGCAAATTTGGCTTGGCTATTCCCATACAATCTTGCTCCTATTATAAATCGTACCAAGTCCCAATCAAAAGAAAAATATAAATTGTATTGTTTTTGACATATTTTTTATTTTGTTTAATAGTAATGGGATTCCCCAACACTGCTGACTTATTTTCAGAGTGTGTTTTGCAGTTTTTCGATTTTTTAAAGAGATTTGAATACGGCATGTGGGTTGTGCTTGTCCCATACAACTTTGTGCCTGATAAAAGTCCCACCAAATACCAATCGAAAAAAAATACGAATTCGAACTTTTTCGAGATAGATTTTGTTTTATTTAATAAATAAGGGATTCGTTATCGTTGCTAAACTATTTTCAAGTTGAGTTTAATAGTTTTTCGATTTTTTAATGAGATTTGAATGGCTTGGCTATTCCCTTACAATCTTGCTCCTATTTAAAATCGTACCAAGTCCCAATCAAAAAAAAATATAAATTGTATTGATTTTTGACATATTTTTGATTTGTTTAATAGTTAAGAGATTCCTAAACGTTGCTAACTTATTTTTAGAGTGTCTTTTGCAGTTTTTCGATTTTTTAAAGAGATTTGAATACGGCATGTGGGTTGTGCTTGTCCCATACAACCTTGTGCCTGATAAAAGTCCCACCAAATACCAATCGAAAAAAATACGAATTCGAACTTTTTCGAGATAGATTTTGTTTTATTTAATAAATAAGGGATTCGTTATCGTTGCTAAACTATTTTCAAGTTGAGTTTAATAGTTTTTCGATTTTTTAATGAGATTTGAATGGCTTGGCTATTCCCTTACAATCTTGCTCCTGTTTAAAATCGTACCAAGTCCCAATCAAAAAAAAATATAAATTGTATTGATTTTTGACATATTTTTGATTTGTTTAATAGTTAAGAGATTCCTAAACGTTGCTAACTTATTTTTAGAGTGTCTTTTGCAGTTTTTCGATTTTTTAAAGAGATTTGAATACGGCATGTGGGTTGTGCTTGTCCCATACAACCTTGTGCCTGATAAAAGTCCCACCAAATACCAATCGAAAAAAAATACGAATTTGAACTTTTTCGAGATAGATTTTGTTTTATTTAATAAATAAGGGATTCGTTATCGTTGCTAAACTATTTTCAAGTTGAGTTTAAAAGTTTTTCGATTTTTTAATGAGATTTGAATGGCTTGGCTATTCCCTTATAATCTTGCTCCTATTTAAAATCGTACCAAGTCCCAATCAAAAAAAAAATATAAATTGTATTGATTTTTGACATATTTTTTATTTGTTTAATAGTTAAGAGATTCCTAAACGTTGCTAACTTATTTTTAGAGTGTCTTTTGCAGTTTTTCGATTTTTTAAAGAGATTTGAATACGGCATGTGGGTTGTGCTTGTCCCATACAACCTTGTGCCTGATAAAAGTCCCACCAAATACCAATCGAAAAAAATACGAATTCGAACTTTTTCGAGATAGATTTTGTTTTATTTAATAAATAAGGGATTCGTTATCGTTGCTAAACTATTTTCAAGTTGAGTTTAATAGTTTTTCCATTTTTTAATGAGATTTGAATGGCTTGGCTATTCCTTTACAATCTTGCTCCTTTTTAAAATCGCACCAAGTCCCAATCAAAAAAAAATATAAATTGTATTGATTTTTAACATATTTTTTATTTGTTTAATAGTTAAGAGATTCCTAAACGTTGCTAACTTATTTTTAGAGTGTGTTTTGCAGTTTTTCGATTTTTTAAAGAGATTTGAATACGGCATGTGGGTTGTGCTTGTCCCAAACAACCTTGTGCCTGATAAAAGTCCCACCAAATACCAATCGAAAAAATACAAATTCGAACTTTTTCGAGATAGGTTTTGTTTTATTTGATAAATAAGGGATTCGTTATTGTTGCTAACTTATTTTAAAATTGAGTTTAATAGTTTTTCGGTTTTTTAATGACAGTTGAATGGTTAGTGCTATTCCCTTCAAACCTTGCACATTGTTCACATCCCAATGCCACACCCCCTAAAGCGAATTATTTATTAAAATAAAATACATATTTATATATTTATTATAATTAGAAGACGCCAAAAGAAAAATTAATATCTCATCGAAAGTATTTTGTGGTCCTGAAAAGGACCGATTTGTACAAAGTATGCTGGCGCATTGGTCGCTAGTTGAGACCGTCTCT